GCCCGCCCGCCCCGCCCCCGCGGTCACCTTGATGCCCCCGATGCGGTGCTCGCCCCGGAACTCCTTGCCGTTCTTCAGCCAGGAGATGGACGGGGTGGGGGTGCCGGCCGCAGGGCAGCGGAAGCGCACGGTGTTGGCGGCAGGCACAGCCAGCAGCTTCTTGTCCATCCGTTCAGGCCGCGTCCAGTAAGGGGCCCCTGCTGGCCAAGGGGCTGGTGAACACAGGCCCGGCGGGGAGGCCGTGCCGGCCTGCCCCGGGGTGGGGGGCCGGTGTCCCCGCTCCCCAGCTGCTCAAGGCTCTGGGGCCTGACCCGGCCTGCCCAGCTCTCGGGGGCTGTCCCTCCAGCGAGGGGGGGCAGTGCACACCCCCACCCCCGCGCTCCCACCAGCAGAGACAGCGGCACCAGGACGCCCAGCTGGCCCGGCCCTGCCAGGTGGACAGCAGAGCTGGCCTGGGGAAGTGTCCCTGGGGGGCCGGGGGGCCGCTGACCAGGGCGCCCGAGCCCGCGAGCCAGACTGGCTTTTCTCCTCCGTGGGGCCGGTGTGGGGAGGCAGCACGGCCCAGGCGGCCCCTCCCTGTGTCCAGGTGCTGCCCGCTGCCCGGGGCCTGGGCCTGGCGGTGCTTCCTGGAGGCCCGGAAGCCCCGGCCCCTCTGGCCAGGGGCCCCGCAGCCTCGGCCCTGAGCCAGCCCAGAGAGAGCCTCCGGGTGGCCAGGCCGGACCCCCCCGCCGCCCGGCCCGGCCCGGCCCCCCAAGCCCGATGCGCCCCCCACGGCTGGACGGGGTGCGCCCAGGTCCCGCCAGCGCTCCCCCACCCCGGGCACCCGCGGGGGCTCACCTGCATCTTCAGCCTCGTCCTCCCCGTCTTCGTCGTCTCCCGAGGACGGGGCCTCTGCCGGGCAAGGGGCGGTCAGCCAGGGTCCCGCCGGCTCCCCGCCCTCCCCGCCCGCGGGCGGCACCCACCTGTCACCCGCACAAGGAAGCGGCGCAGGGTGCGCTGGGTGAGCCGCTGCCGGCAGCTGTAGGTCCCGGCGTCCTCCCGGGAGGCGTTGAGCACCCGCAGCTGGCCGGGCCCCACCAGCACCCGGCCCGAGGGCGCCAG